ATATTGGTAGTGACATAAAAAGAGACACAGAGACCAACAGAACAGGCTAGACAGCCCACGAATATGCACATAGAGTCAACTAGTATATGAGAAGAGAGCCAAGAATATACAATGGAGAAAAGACAGTCTCTTCAATAAATACGCCGGGGGGAAAAAGACCTACCGAAATCTAAAAAACAATCGGAATATGTAACTGAAAGGAAAAATAGAGGAATGCAAAATTATACTTGGAAAATTCAATACGCCCCTCAGCAATGGACAGGACTCCCCAAAAAAAGTCAGCAAGAATACAGAAGAACTGAACGACCGTCAAGCACCGGTATCAAGCTGACGTTTATAGAACAGTCAGATGGCTTTTTTAAGACAGTGCATGCAACAACAGCAGAATGCACATTGCTATCAAGTCCCCGTGGGGCGTCCAGCAAAGTGGAACATATTCTAGGTCATTTAAAAAAACTCAAGAAATGGAAAGAATTGAAATCATACACAACGTGTTCTCTGACTGTAGTGGAAACGATTTTCAGTCAGTGGCGTAAAGAAAACAAGAAAATCTCCAAACAACTGGAAATCATTCAACACACTTATAAATACCACATGGTAAAAATTGAAACTCTCAAAGGAAAGTTTTTTAAAAATAAATAAGAAATAAGGAACATGAAAATACAGCATGTCAAAATTTGTGGAATGCAAAGAAAATAGTGCCGGGAAGGAAGTTTATTGCACCATGTGCTTATGTTAGAAGTGAAGGATGTCTGAAATCAATCGTCTGAGCTCCCGCCTCAAAAAATTTAAAAACAAAGAAGAGAATAAACTCAGAGCAACTGGAAGGAAGATAATAATAAAAATAATGGCAACTCAATGAATTCTAGAGCAAAGACAAGAGAGCAAATGAAACAAAATATGATAAGGTTTTGAGAGGAAATAAAATTCCTGCTTAAATAGAGGTACACCATCCTTATCAGTGATTACAGTACTGTTGCACTCATTTTCATCCAAAGCATTCGATTCAGCACCATAAAGTCAGAACTGTAATATAATCTTTAGAGAGTAAAGATGTTGATTCTCAAATACACAAGGAAAGGAAGTCTTTCAAAGAGAAATAAGAACTTGTCTCAGGGCAAGAAAAACATAAGAGAGGATACAGAAAAAAGTCATATGCCAAACATTCTCTAAAGTTCTTTATTGGAAGAAAAAAAATGAACAAGTTGAATAAGAATACAGAGGCCCCAGAAAGAATCCCATATTTATATGGAAGCTTAGATTTGACAAAGTTGCCAAAAAAGTAAGTTAGAAAGTTATGATGAAAAAGATGAGGAAAGTACACTACTGCTGTTCAAAATTAGCCAGATTCCATTTCAGAAATAAAATTATGTTTTAAAATTTATTGTTAAATTAAAACTTTATTTTAAATTAAAGTCTCTAAAAGAGTTGCACTAACAATGGGACAAGCATGTATAGCTGAGAATTTTACCCTAATATGAACGTTTACACCAAGTGTCACTTCATGAAACAAAACAGAGACAGTACAGTAAAGGGTGGTCTGAAAAGTTTTTAGTTATCAAATGAGCTTTCTGGGGTAGAGGAGTATCTGAAACAATAATGATGTGCTTACTGGTTACTCAGTGTTGGAAGAAATGGCTAGATTCAAGAGCAAAAACTTTGAGAATGGCCATTAAAATGAGATACAATACCTGTCTTTGAGCCTTGATGACTGAGGGCAGACTCTTCGAGAGACTCTTAACAACAAAGGGGAGAATCCCTTGATAAAAAGAGGTAAAGCACTTTTGGTTGTTTTCTAATATCTGAATGAAAGAACAAAATTGTATCTGCCTGAGTGATTTACTGTTCAAAAGCCAAATACGTGATAGAGACTTATGATGTAAAACCTCAATGCCTATTTCTCTGAGAAACCATTTGCTTCCTTAAACCTTTCGTAGAGTTCTTATCAGGTCTTATCAGAATAACGTAGCACTTTGGGGCAAAGATGCAGCCTAGTAAGCCCGCACTGGAAGCCACGATGGAGGAGGGCCCCACGGCCACCATGACCGTGCCCTGGGTGCTGTGGGAAGGCGACCCAGACACTGCAGAACACCAGCATGCTGAAGGGCAGGAGCTTGGCTTCACTGAAGGTGTCAGGCAGGTTCCGGGCCAGGAAAGCCAAGGAGAAGCTCCCCAGGGCTGAGGAGCCCGGGTATCCCAGGACACAGTAGAAGGCGGTGACCGAGCCCTTGTTGCATATGGTGACGAGGTTCTCGGGCTCAGAATGTGTGTCCATCTCAATGGAAGACGGAGCGGTTCCCAGCCAGACCCCACAGATCATCACTTGGATCAGGGAGCAGATGGGAATGACATAGACGCGCCTGTCACCAGCAGTCGCCTCCTGGTTCTGCCTGGTTTCATGGCCTTGAATGCCAGAATCACAGTGAGGGTTTTGGCCAACACAGTGGCAACAGCCGCAGTGAACACAGCTCCAAATGTGACTTGTTGGAGGATGCAGGTGGCTGTGTTGGGACGGCCAGTGAAGAGTAAGGAGCAGAGGAAGCACAGGAGGGAGATGAGCAGGTCGTAGCCAAGAGCCCGACTATTGGCCTTGACTATGGGGTGTCTCGGTGCTTCACAAAGACCCGCAAAACCACAGCTGTGACAACACAGAAGCACAAATCTGCGCCGGCAAGTGACATCCCCAAGGCATCCTCGAAGGCCAGGAAGGTCACAATTTTGGGGAGACAGTGATTTCTGTCACTGTTTGGATACTCATGGTCTGGGCACTGGACACACTGCTCTGCATCTGGGGAGAAAGCAGACTCAACATTAATTTTCAGAACTTCTTCATTTTTACCACATTTAAAAATTGTCACCTTTCCTGTCACTGCACATGTTGCTCTCCCCTGATAAAACAGCGAGACACACCAACTGTGGACTCCATTCCTGATTGAGGAACAATGCTTTCAGGTGCAGATAAGCCCCAATGCATTGACGCTGAATCTCCAGCATGTGGTGAAGCTGGGCTGGACCATCTGTGGCTCAGTGTCACCAAGGACACGGTTTCTTCCTAACTCTTTCTCTATAGTCTTCAGTGCACAAGCAACAAAATTTAAAAGTAGACATATTTGGCTTCACCCAAATGAGAGCCATTGAGCTTCAGAAGCTTCAGAGCTTCAGAGCCATTGAGCTATCAATGGAATGAAGGGGCAACAAAGCAAAAGGGGCAAAATACTTGTAAATCTTAACTTGTTAATGAATTAATATCCAGGGTAAATGAAGAACTCCTACAACCTCACAGCAGCAACAAAAACCACAACCCAATTACAAAGTGAACACAGAACTTGAGTAGACATTTCACCAAAGGAGATATACAAATGGTCAACAAATCCATGAAAAGTTGCTCAGCAGCAGTTCTTGTTTCCAAATGCAAATCAAACCCACAAGATACCACTTGGCATCCATTAGGATGGCTATTATCTTAAAAAATAACTATCAAAATAACAAGGAGTGATGAGGATGCTGAGAATTAGAACATTTGTACCTTGCTGGTGGTGATGTAACTGGTGCAGCTGCTCTGGAAAACAGCCTGGTAGTAACTCAAAAACTTAAGCACAGGTGGAAGAGGTCAAGTTGGGGGAGCAGGAGAAGTGGAGCTCACCTCCCCCCTTGGGCACATCAAGAATCCATCTACACGTGGGGCAGTTCTCATTGAAAACTAACGGCACAGCCAGAAAAACTCTTATACAACCGAGGCTGTAAGAACGATCCACACAGAGTCAGGTAGGAAAGAAGAGAAGGAATCAGGTCAGGACCGACACCCCTAGAAGGAGACCCAGAAGGATTCCACAGGCTCAGAGATCCTCCCTGGAGAGGGAGTGGATCCAGCCGCATCCTGGGCGACCTAGCCCAGGAGTCTGACATCGGGAGGATGAGTCGCCTTAGCTGGATTGAAAACCAGTGGGACTGACATGAGACTGCTCGTGAAAAGTGTGCACATGCTTCAGTACTCCTGAAAAAAGGTGGAGGAAGCAGATTGAAATTGCCTGGGACTCTGGACATTTCCTGTGACTGTCCTGCATACCCCAATGCATGTCACGTGCCAGCCGTGGCCCCTCTTACTCCACAGTGCAGCT